CAGTTTATGTTGAGTTTTCTGTATAGAAAGTCGTCGATGTCTCTAATTTTCACTTCTAGGTCTATATCCAAGGGTGAGTAGTGCCCCAGCTGCATATCGTCCAATGTGTTGATTATCCTCGACTTCCCACCCTTCGTAATCCCCTTCTCCCCTACAACAACCATCAAACAACCATATATCTTTCTGCAGTCACCTCCCTTCCACCCTCAAGCCCACTGTCAGCCGACTTCAGTACCAACCACTTCAACCTCCAACAGCCTACCTCGCTATTGGATGCTCCTGACCCCTATAAGTCAACTCTCCTAAGAGCCTTCCTTTCATCACCTTATTCCTTCTCCTACTCAGTCGCTTTTCTTCCCTCTTGTAGCATAACCACACCGGCCCTTTTGCTTGCGGGCCAGCCGAACCCATCCCCTCCAACTGCAGCCCAACCACCCTCGTTCCCCCACCTGTTTGTTGCCCTTCCACTTTACAGCCCTCCAAAACTTTTAGTTATGCTCAAACCAAAGCACCACCAACAAAACCTACGCGTTAGTTTTGTATTTGTGTTGTTATTTCCCTACTTTCAGATGCCTTGGTAGCAATCATCTTTTTGACTTTCAACAATAATATTTTCATTACTATGGTGGTTCGGGTTAACTTCGATATCACGGTGACTCCCACCGATACCAGAATTTAATACACCTAGAGAAAAATAAATATTATTACAAAATTCAAAGTATGAAATTATAAGAAATAGCAAGGAATTCTAAAATTGTAATAAAACAACACAATACTAGAACTAGGTTTAGAACTAGGGTGTAAGTGGTGTATAGGTGGGTTGTTTAATAGTATGCAATGGGATTCAACAAAGTGACAATAAGTTGGAATACTAAGTTTGTCGTTGCGAGGTGACGACCAGCAGGTTTATAGGGAGAATGGCAAGAATTGCTGGTTCTGGAGCTGGATGACAACAGGGTTGATAGGAAAACAACAGTGTTGTTATTTTTCGAGGTGGCAATAGTAAGGGAAAAGCAATGAGGGTAAAGGAAATCGATGCAAGAGAGGATGGGGAAAGAGAAAAAAAGGATACAAACTACATCTACAGCCAGAGCACCACTTTAAATCATTGGATACAACCCTACAAAGGGAAACGAGAAGACGATGGCTCTACAAACTCAAATCGATCAAAAACTAACCTTAAACATTAAATAAATGATTAAATAAACCTACTACTATTAGAAGTGGACCCCATTCCAATTGAGCGGCAATTTTATGCCTAGAGAGGGTCGACCGATCCTCCCTCAATATGGATAGAACCGGTCCAGGGTCCCGCTTAACCCCCACATTAATCTACCGACATTGGTGGAGCTTCAGCCTAATATCACTATCTAACAAAAAACCTGATAAAGTTTCCCGAATTGCAAGTAACCATCTTTACATGTCCAACCATCTATGCGTATATTGTTGAACTAAACTGGATCTTCGAGCCAAACATAATCTGCAAAGCTATCCAAAAGTTGCCTAAGGTTGATCACTCATCTCTGAGTTGAAGACAAGCTGAATCACTCCTAATGGTGGCAGCCATTGCGGTACAATGTCGATCAAAAGATTTTAAAACTCTCTATGGTGGTCGCCCTGCGCCTGATATCGGCTCTTCTGTCTCACCACCCTCTAATATTACCAAAATTGATCCCACTAACACCTCTCTCATGGCAAAAGTACCTATAACCTCGAACTCTGCATAAAGTAGAACAATGCACTATTCACAACTATGAACTCTGCATAAAGTAGAACAATGCACTCTTTAAGTAGTGAGATACAAGTGGTCTGTCATCTATGTAGACTCCATATTCTCACAACTACCTTCATCGATGAAAAGGTTGCACACATCCCTTCACAGCGCAACGGACAAAAAGGTTTTGTGGCGAAGCCACTACTACTCTCTCCTAGCCTCAGTCTAAAGGACCCGTCGAATCACAAGCATCGTGCCCTAATCAGCCAGTAGGTGGTACTCCTACACATCCTCACTATCTTCTATCTTCAATATCATTGCTTACTTCTTTTTTTGCTCCCTGCTTAGTGAAAGAGGAAATTCAAGGTGAACGGCAACAGGAGGCAATGTGTTCAAAACTATGTCATCTGAAACACTTAAATGCGGGCACAGTGTTGAGTGCATTGCTTCTCTCGAGATTCTTCTCACTTTGATCCACTATATCATCTTTTTGGACAGTTTTCACATCTTCCTTAGGTGTACTCTTACTTCCTCCAACTATGGGCGACTGCTTTAATTATGGCGATGTCCAAATCTGCTTCTTTTGTTTCACCACCTTTAAGGACAATATCTGAATATCACTCAATGATCTGTAAGGCTACAACTGAAAATAATCAATGGCTACCTTCATGCCTCCCAAATAGCTGACTATAGTACTCTCCTCTGGTTCCCTCAGCTCACATTTCAGTGAAAACTGCTTAAACTTCATTGTGAACTCCTTTACTAACAACTCCCACTGATGTAAGTGATGTAGCCTCAAGAACATATCCTAGCAGTAGTGTGGGGGAAGATACTTCATCTTGTCCTAAGTAGTGATCTTATTCCTACATTATTTGTCTTACTCTCTTCAAATTCTCCCATCATATAAAGGCACGATTCTTCAGTTTTATGGCAGCAAGCTTCACCCCTTTATCAGTCGGTCCTTCTGATACTCAAAAATTCTCTCAACAATCTGCAACCACTCAATGAAGTCATCTTGATTCGTCCAACCCTCGAAATACAACAAGTGTACCTTCACCCCCATGTTTTCATGTTGTCCAAAACCTCCTCTGGTAATCCCAAAGATCATGGCTTATCCTCTTCACTGGAATCATCCCTATGAAAGAGAATCAAATTTCCCTGCAAAATCTTCAAATTTCATTATCACCATCAACACGATCTCTCCATGGATCCCTTCCTTAATTTCAGTAAGTCTTTGCCGAAGCTAGCGGATTTCCCGATGCATCTCCATGGTAAGTTCCTGATTAATTCAGCACCAGTCTCCTCAATGGCATGGATAGAGTATAAGTTTGGAAGGTGAAAGAGGGTGTACGAGGCTGCTTTAGGGTGCAGGAAAAAAATTAAGGTTGTTGTTTTTCAAAATCAGCAAGGGGGATTAAGGGTAAGTCGATGTTTGGCTGTAATTTAGTGGGTTTAGGTTGCCCTATGATGGAACTAGGGTTGGGCTAACTCTGATACCAAATAATGTTGTAATTTAACAAACATCTAAGAGAAAACAAATATTATTACGGAATTCAAAGTCTAAAATTACAATAAATAGCAGAGAAATCTAAAATTGCAACAAAACAACACTAGAACGAGAGTTGAATCTAGGGTGGGTGTAAGTGATGCTTAGGTTGTTTAATAGCAAGCGATGGGAAAAATGGCAGCAAGCTGGAACAATATGTATAGTTTCGAGGTGAACAAGCAACAGGACGACATAGAATGACAGGGATTATTGGTTTAGTTTTGCTATTTTTCAGGTTGGTAGCAGCAAGGGGAAAGCGCCGAGGTGAAGGAATCAATGCAGGAAAGAGGAAGGGTAGAAGAGGATACACACCACGTCAAGAATGAGTAAAGCCGGAGCACCACTTGAAACCCTTAGATATATTCCTAAAAAGTGAAAAGAGAAGTTGGCGGCTCTACAAACTCAAATCAATAAAAAATTAACCCTAAACATCAAAGAAACACTAAAATGAACCTACTGCTATTAGAAGTCGGCCCCACTCCAATTAGGCGGTAACCCCTAGAGAGGGTCGACCGACCCTCCATCAATCTGGACCAAATCGGTCTGGAGTCATGCCCAACCACCGCATCACCCACTAACAAATATTGTAAATTAAAATGACCAAAAGTAACAAAAAAATGGTTTTTTTTTACTTTTTTTTTACAATACAAAATAATTTTAAAGCGAGAATATTATAATTTAGAGACATTTTACCTACTGAGTAACTCAAGTCATACATTTAGCTATATTTTCAAGGAAAATAGGTTATTGAATAAATATATCCTAAATAATATGTACAAACACCGAGAAGCTCATGTTGATTGGTATTACAATCAATTTTAATTTATATCAGTTACAAAAATAAAAAAAATTAAAATCTGTAAGAACTATTTGTCAATTAAAATTTTATAAAATAAAATGACCCCTTCGTGTTTTGAATTTGACTTAATTATGAAACAAAAATATTTAGACAGCTAGTTTCCTCCATCCAACTGTTCGTTTTTGTCTTAGTATTTCAAGCTCTCAGGTCGGGTCGTGACAAATAATACTGACAAAAAAAGACTCATGTTGTTTTCTATTGAAAGAAGTATTTGAATTTGTTGTTTCAATTTGGACTGGACAGATCATTCTTTCTAGGAGTTAGCCATCATTCTCGTTTAAGGAGTATGACTGGATATTCATGAAGCAATATGCTGTTTTCAACAACAAAAGCTTAAGCACGTGAGTTCAACCCCAAAAGCCTCAAGTTAGAAAAAAATATGTATGACATGAAACTATTTGAGAAAAACTTCATTAGTAGACAAAAATCATAAAAGTACAGCATAAAAAGATTAATTGTTTGCAATATTTTCAAATTGAAAAAAATAGTTGTGTGAGAATAAGTGGCGCCTCAATTATGAGATTATCGGATGCTGAACAAAAATGTTTTAGATTATATGTTAGTCTAAGACTCCGTAAATATTTTGACGCCAGCTCTTCCTCATAAAGTGGATAACAAATTAAAACCTAAAATGAAAGCTAGCTCCTATTCTGGTTACAGATGCATTTTGGATGTAATGGTTCAATCATGAAAAGATGAACAGCCAGGCCAACATTGTGCACATCAGCAAGGAAATAAAAAATATTTTGCTATGATCACTATAATGGATTAAAAGTAGCTATTTGATATAATTAGAAATATTTTGAAGGTCGAAATTTCAATAGTGAACAGGTATATGGAAAAGATTAAGGAAAAAGGTAGGATATCCGCATTACTCTCACCAGTTCCTCATTACAGTCATTATCAGCGGACACTTGCGGTGATGTTGAGCGAACTTTCCTTGGGGCTTTTGAAGCCATATAAAAGCCCTTGCAGGAGAATCTATCCAATGAATGGCATCAAACAGTTAAAATCTCGGAGATCTCCACAAAAATATGTACTTTTCATAATAATGATAACAATGCAAAACACTGCAAAGTTCTATTTTGTCTGTCGCAATACATGTTTACAGATGATATCAGGTGAACTTTTATAATAGAATGATCCTTAATCAAAGATGCATTTAAGAATGTAAGGATGAGACGCAAAAGGAAAGGTCCACACAAAAACGAAAGCAACTCGCTTCAAACCCCATGCATAATTCCTGTATTAGTTCTGAGCTATGTGTTGGTCTTATTCTATAAATATAAGAAATAAATTCTCATGCAATAAATATAAATTATAAAACTTTTGATGAACATAATTTATGGTCAAGGAACCAAAATAGCACAAAGAATTGTGCCACCACCGGTAAATACATGCACATAATATATTGCAAAATAGTTTTCAAGCATGCTTTATTATAAGAAGGCTGGCAATGGGTTACTCAGTTCCTTATAGTTTGTTATCAAAATACACTATAAGATGTAGAAAAATATATCGGACAAGGCCAAATTTGCTATAGGCAACATTCAAACATTTACTTTGGTGATGAAAATACTAGAAGAGAATTCACTAGTGATGTATGCCTGAAACTGATATTGGGCGAGCAAACCACAATGAAATGGCAAGAGAGAGATGGAAAAACTCACATGAGAGCTGTTATTATCAAAAACAAATGCAAAAAAGCAAGGTACAATTGTGATCTACTTTCGAGAGGTAAATCAGTTCTTCCACAACCCTAGACGTCGCTACAAACACCACCAGAAAAAGAGAAATCAGCAGTCAACAAAAACATGCATAAAGAACACAAACCCTAGGTTTCCACCCCTTAAAGAATCCATCCACAGTCTTTGCAAATTTTCCTTTTTTAACTTTCCCTCCATACCTGTTTTAATTTCTCCTCCTTGAGTATGTAATTAAAACCTCTCGTGGACCCCATCGTGGACCCCACCCTATCCCTGCTTTCTTCTCCCGAGGCAAGTTGCCACCCCGCCTTTTCGTTCGTACAGGAACAGCCTGCCTGTTGGCTTGGCGGGCCGGTGGAATACACTTTGACCAGTCCCTCCTGGACCAGTCCTCCTTTTAAGGGCGTAATAGAAACACTTGACGTTCAGTCAAGTAGATGGTGTGGAATTCATTATTTGAGCTGGTCCATGCACACACTCAGCCAAGAAACATCAAAGCTCGCTCAGGTTTAGCTCCAAAGAGCAGTCTCTGACGCACAAATCAACTTAATAAAGATAAAACAAGCCTAATTTAGCTTGACCAATAGAAAAGTTTCACGCATCTACTGCAAAGTCAAAGATTCATAAGAGCACATAAGATGTGTATCCACAAGAAAATAGATACATCAAGCAAATTTATTTTAAAGGGAAAAATTGCAAATAAATCAGTAAGCAAGTGCAAAAGCAATGTATGATGCATAACATCATACAGCAGATAAAGGCCAACAGAGCTCTAGGCAACATTTAACCATGCATACCACTCAATTCCTATGTCTTTACGCATCTCACACTTAAACTTCAATTTTTACATACACCCCAACAATTATCGCCACAAAAATTTTACCCAAACACGTACCCCTGATCATGTTCTGGCAATTACCACCGTGGCGGCATGATTAAGGTTTGGCGTGGGTAGGTGGAATGAGTCTGGAAGGGTGATGGAGAGTGGGAAAAAAAATTTTTGGGTGATGGTAGAGTTAGATAGTGTTGGATGCTAGGAACCTTAAGTTAGGACTAGGGTTAGACTAGCTCAGATACCAAATGATATCGAAGTTAATGCAAACAAAAATAGAAACACATAATATTACTGAAAATGGCAATAGGCGTTTACAACCACACACACTTGACAAGGTAATGCAACAACAACAAGACAAACACATCTAAATGTATTCAAGGGTGGTGGTCGGTTTGGTGAGTGGATTGCAGAAGCAAGTTGACGAGGAGGTGAATGGTTATAGGAGGAAGGTGATGAGGCAATGGTTGGCTGAGAGACAACTAACAGGGGCTGGTTGAAGAGCTGGATTATAAGCAAACAGCCAGCGACGTGGAATGTGTGGGACTGCGGAATAACAAAAGGAGAGCTATCTTGGGGCTACGACGGCGAGGGGGATGGGTAGACAGTGAAGATATGAAATTGGAATGAATGGCAACAAGGTGGGACGCAGCTGGAAGGGATGGCAAAAGGTAGAGGAGGTCGTGGCCCGACGATAGGAGTTGCAAGATGACTGAGGGCAGCGAGGCGAGGAATGTCGAAGATAGAAAAGGCGAAGTTAAATACCCTTGTGAGAACTAGCTACAATCGAGCACAATTAGATCCCTTATAAAGATATCCCCACCTTGGACAAGCTACAGTCAGAGCACCATCCGCCTTTGGATATAGCCCTAGAAGGAGAAAACATGGACGTCAACGGCTGCTCTGACAAAACGCAGTTCAAAAACTGAAAACCTAAAACACAAGAATCACATAAAAATCCTATATAATTAGGATTGGATCCATCTGTGATAAGAAGACGTCAATCCCTCGTGGAAAAGCCGATCAGCTCTCCCAGATTTGAACCGGTTCGGTCCAGACGCATGAATTGCAGAAGCCTCTCTCGCAGCTTATTTACGCCAGCATCAGTCTCTCAAGATTTGGGGAGTTCGACATCATAAATCGAAGCTTATGTCTGCACATTAAAAGTAGCGGAGCTGTTGTAACTTCTCGAGGTTGAAAACCTTCGACTGCGGCCTAAAAAGCACCTTGATCGCACTATCAACTGCATGACGCGGAAGTTTCCCCAGATCGCGACACTGTAGCTACTACAGTGTTGCAGACGCATTGCTGTTGCAGCTACAGCACTTCTCCCCTTTTTTTTTTCTTTTTCCCTCCTATTATTTCTTTCCTTTTCCATGAAATCCTCTATTATGAATCCTTGTCTATTATATTACTTCATTTTTATTCTATTTCCTAATAGAAATCATTGCCTTATACAAGTCATAATCCCTCTTATATATGGGGGTTGTTTTTGCTTAGGAAAGGAGGTTTCAATTATTGTTGATTTCAGTTACTTCCCCTCCAGGGGCTGTCCTCGACGGTGAGAATGTGCTCTGGTTGTAATTCGTCTGAAGTGGTGACCATCTCTGTTGACCTCATTTTTGGTTGAGGTCTAGAAACTTCTTTAGTAGCCTAGGTCTAGCCATAGGACTTTCCTATTGACTAGTCTTAGAAAACTAGAAAAAGTACCCTCACCATTAGAAACTCAAAACTCTTCTCTTTACTCAACTTGAAATTCCACATATTGATCTTAACTTCTAGCACTTAGTAGGTAAGATCATTATGAGTGAACTCAAGGAGAGTTCCTATAGGACTACTTGGCCTTAGGATTCACCCTAGGTGTTGGTTTAGAGTTAAGGTATACCATACCCCACAATACCCTTGCTAAGATCAATACATGAGAGCCCAAAATGGGGATTTCATTGATCCATGGTTCATTTAGAATGAATATTTATCCAATTCTACTTGAAATTCCCAACTTAGCCTTTTGCCCCTAGACACCTCCAAATCACCTAACTGCCCTTGAAACCCAAATTTGGCCAAAATTCCCAAATTTGGCTAAAATACCCAAAACTGATTAAAACTCATTCCAAACACTTTGAATATATCCAAATTTGCCAAAACTGACAAAAATGACCAAATTACCAAAATGCCCCTCCATGGCCCAAAAATCCAAAAATTCCCAAATATTTCCAATTTCATTTTGTCCCACTACACCTTGGTCGAATTTGGTCAATTTGATCATCTTTGACCAAAACCCCCAAATTAGCCTCAATATTGGCTAACACCCCAAATCTCAACAATTGAATGTCTTAAACCTCAAATTAGCATCCAATTTTTGTTGAAAATCCTTTATAAGGTCATTTGTGACCAAATACAAC